AAAAAAAATAAGCGAGAAGACTGGCAGAGCTACAACAGTAATAATAAATCTGCTTACGGGGAAATAAGAAGAGGGTAAACATAAAAGATACACAAACCAAATAGTCAGATGGGGACAGACAGAGATTCGACTTACATTCATTTGCTTTGCGAGCACTTTAAATCCGTTCTTGACACGGAAGTATGACTGCAATTGCTCTAATGTGACTCCTTCGTCTTTATCCACCTCGGGAAGTTCACCATTAGCAGAAACAGCGGCGGTGTCAGGTGAGGAGCGTTGAGAATGACGACCACCTTTTCGCCTCCGACGGCGGCTGTTGCCATTGCGGACCTCCGAGTCGCCCGTGCCCGCACCTGCGCTCGCCGAATCATCGGGCTTTGAATCAACCTCTGTCGTCTGATCACCAGCTGAAGGTGTCGTATCGGAAGTAGGAGGCTGGTCATTTGCAGAGGACTTCTGGGCTTCTGTGGTGACAGCACTCAACACTTTTGCCATCTGACAGAGGATGGAGGTGTACTGGGGGAGTTCGCGTCCACCACAGGCAGCCTCGGCGATTAGACGAAGGAAGTTGTCCCTGTAATAACAGGATAGAGATAAATTCAACGCTTTGCAAAATAATGCTACCTGACTGGTGTTGAGCCCAAAGCAGTGAATGTGCATTAAATTTACTGCTAGAAGGAAAACCAGTCGTCAAACTGCGGGAGTTCCGGATGCATTTGTGTAGCATCAGATAAATCACACCAGCCATACACTTGTAGCTCGAACGGGACGTACTCTGTCGGCGAAATACGCAAACTCATTCGCAGAGACCCCTGTCGATCAGCGAAACACCAAACAGCGTATCGGATGTCGAGATTTGCTTGTTTGGGTCGAACTAGGAGACACATGTGATGAATGACAACTAATTCTACAGCTAAGAAGAATTTTGGGAAATGTGTAGATCTACCGAACGGAAGGAGTACTAGATACATCCAATTAAAATACTATAAAGTGGGTTAATCTTAAAGAGAGAGTCATTTGGCACCCTGCACACTTTACAAACAACTTTTGGATCATGGGCATAGGGGTTAAAATCCTGTTTTTGCAGATTTTTTTTGGTGGCAGTGGCCGGCGACAGCGACAGCGTACTAGCATCTATTGCATTTGATTAGCCTGGGATCAGGACACTAGTCGAGAAGAAAAGTTTTGGGGATCAGGTGTCAGCTGCTAAACGAGTGCGTGCAGAAAGGAAAACAAAAGTCAGAATCAATGTAAATATGCTTGTAAACCATTACAAAACGTGTCCTTTATGAGCTCTCTTAGTAAGATGCTATCACCCTGATGATGTTATGGGTTCTGACTACTGTAGCCGATCGATTCCATGTTTCACGCATATACCACACCAGAGTAGATTACAAATGACTGAAATGACGGCATGTGGGATGACGTTAAGGAGGACCAAGCTCACAAGACCAAATAAACAATCCAGCAAGCATAACTTTTTGTTTCATTCTAGTCAGCCTGTTGAGGAGCAAAAATATAAACGGGATTTATTTTCCCTTAATGATAGTTATAAGTGGCAAATGGCGTGAAAGGAGGCACACAAGAAATACGAACTTACTCGCTTGGTTTCAATAAATAGCTTAACGAGGTGTCCGCCTCCAGAGAACCTATGCGTGTTTGCATCAGTTCCTCGGTCTGTGAGTCGACGTTTTCGGCGGCAATGGCCGCCTGTGCCTGAGCAACATACTCTCGGAGGAAATTTGGCCACTGATCCGGATTAGGGCTGGGCTTGGCGGTCACAGCCGGGTTCTCCGAGCAGGCTTTGAAGGCGCGAGAATCAGAGTAAGCCTGCAGAGCGTCTCGGGGCCGCCGCAGAACCATTAACGCTTTACCCCGATGGAGGCAGGCTTTGGCTGCCATGAGGTTTGCGCTACGTGCCTTGTCAGCCTCTTCACCAATGTTCGTTGGAGTCCGCATAGGCTCAGGTGGCAGCAAACGCAGAGCCAAGTCACAATCGGCCAGTGCTTTCTCTGGTTTCCCGCATCGCAAGTAGGCCTGTAAAAACAAAGGCAAACGGATGTAGTTAGCCCTGTGAGATCTCGGAATAGGCCTACAGTATGCGGAGCCAAAACAGTCCGAGCATTATTGAGACAGGACCTTGACATCAAAAACTCGGGACCCAGCTAGCTGGCTAATGGAAAGCATGTATGGCTGTCTGGGAAGTACACAGAAGCATGCTCGTTCATTACTAACACCGCCACGCCACGCATTACGATGCTGTTTAAGTATATTCATTATGCAAACAGAATGGTATCTATTTCGGAAGGTCACCTTCCTGGTTTGGACCGAGGCCTGGACAGACAAAACCTTCGTGCATTATGCCCTTGAGCGTTACACAAGTAAAGTCTGTGCTGAAGTGATGAAGACTGGGAACAGCCTACAGGTGAAAGGTCTTACGGATTGATCCCTCTTGCTACTCCATACGCAAAAGCGCAGTCTGCGTGGCCGGGCTCGACGTCATTACATGATCTCTTTCCCGGATCAGAGGGGTATCACACGCTCTGACAAGATTTTGGAAACCATGGAGAAGCAGCAATATCATGAAACTTCTGCAAACACTCGGGACGAATTGGTGATCAATTGGGCAGTCTTTGGAAAAATGATTAAATCGTGAAAGGTAAGGATGCCGATAAGGTGCCTGTTAGAGTCCATCATGCTTACATTCGGGTGGTGTGGAAAGGTAACAACGGTTCGGAATACTGAGCTGCCATCTAGCCCTTCTATGACTTAACTTCCACATTTTCGTTAGTCTATATCCTAGCCCTGTGTCATATTATGCAGACCACTATTTTTCTGTCGGTCGGCCTATTACGGAATATAAAAATGCAGACCCAGGTAAGTATATGAGGGAAGCACAAGCGACCCCTATGAAATGAACGATTTTATTCAAAAGGGAGTTGTCAAAAATGAGTTTAAATTTACTAATGCAATAGGACCCTCAAGCCACAGTAAGAGAAACAAGTGTGAACAGCGTGAGAATAAACTTCGAATTAAATCGTTTACACTATGATAAACTGATATGCTGAGAGGCATCACACAGGCCTTTCTTTCATTAGGCTCGTCGACATACGTAAAAGGAATAAGAAAGGGTAAGATTCACGAAGGGAAACATAAATACGACAAGGCTTACCTGTGCACGATTTGTATACAAAACCGACCAGTCTTTGCAGACATCGATCGCCTGTGTATAAATATTAACGGCATTTTCCCAGTCGCCGGCTTTGAAGTAGTCATTCGCTTGTGATTTCAGTTTCTCTGCCTTTGCCATCCGCTTCGCTCTGCGTTTTGAACGCTCCTCCGCGTCTGCTGCAATGGCGACCTTGAAAGCTTCCACGTCCATGAACTCTGGCTGTCCATTAGCGGGAGCTGGTGGAGCTTGTGCAGCTGGTGGATCTAAAGTCAAAAAGTAAATAATGAGGGCCCGTGAACACCTATATGCAATGCGAATGATAAAGACATGCACAATACTTCGGGTATGTTGACCTGGAAAACGGGCTCCTGGTCCGCATTAGTTCTCACGGAACCATTTGTGAGCAACACGTTAACACTGTTCAAAATAACAGCATTTCGCTCTGTTGGAGGGTGATGGTTCAAGATGGTTGGGCGAATGAAATTTAACCTATAAATATATGCCTAATAGTTCGGGAAACGTAGATGCAGGAATATCCATGTTGTAGGACTTGAGGTATTTCTGTGCGCATTGCTCCAACGAAGCTCTTGATATGGACGCGGACAAAAATGATATTGAAGGATGCCATTATCTCGTATGTCACAATAAATTCTCGTACCTTGTTCGGACACTCAACGAAGTTCTCACATGAAGCTTCACCATTACTTGCAAGTGAATATAGTTGATTGAATAGCCGCTGTGTTAACGCGAAGTTGGATGAACCGATTAACAATACTGACGGTCGCAATAGGCAGCTGGTTTAAGGGATATTCGAGTCGGTTCGTCATCATGATTATCAATTAATAATGTTCTAGGGACTCATATTAGAATCATCTCCCCAAGGCATTGGTTTTTTATCATCTGGCTAAATCTATGCTTTGATTAAGCTTGAGGTAAGAGGTCGACAGGTCAATTTACCTTCTAAAATGACAAAATCTCAGGGTATATTATTATATTCAAAATTTTTGGGAAAATTGAAATTTTTTGTTCGTTTTCCGTGTCTGAAACGCCTTTTACCAACTTTATATTGCAGTACTGAAAAATGAGTTCGTTCTCCACAGCACTAATTCGCATTGTTAAACGATCGCCTACCATTCCCTATAGTGGACTCCAGACTCCCAGGGCTGTCCAATTAGTTAGAATTTGAGTGATTGTACTTTATTCTTTTGGAAGGCACGCTCTTCATAAAGGTTGTCGAGGTGAGAGCGATTACCCCTACCGAACAGTGCTGTCCGCATTAGTTTGTTGAGAAATGAACATTCGTCCTGTCTAAAAGATTATTGCTGTTCGAGTTTAGAGACACGACTGATGGTTTTATTCATTGACCAAATTGAAAGTGATTATATCTGTGAACTTACATGTGTTACTCTCTAGAACTCTTAAAGTTGGTGATGGGGACTAGTTGTGAACGCTCTGTTCGTGGTTTTACCATGGAGACAGCTCTAGGAAAACATCCCGGTTCTGGTCTCTGTGCAAGAAGGGCAGCTACTCATCATCTTGTCTGAAGAAAAACCTTGTGCTTCTACGTCATATGCATATGTTAAATCGCAGGCATCACCAGGAACGTAAGTTGAATTCGAATGGTGTAAACTGGTGCGCCGCAGTTAGCCAGACAGTTCAGGAAAAATAGCCCAGCGCTATAATCTGTCCAATTCTAATATTTATAAAGTAGTGCCTTATCAATAAACCTTATTATCTATACTAGTTTTGTTCATCGTCACTAGAAAATCTCGTGACTCGAAAATTGGTTAGATAGCTTGAACAGACTCCAGATGAATGGCAGTGAGGAAGTCAGTCAACTCCGAGTTAAAACCTTCAACACCCACAAAGGTCATGCCCAACAGAATGAATAAGGGGCTCACACATCTAATAAGTATTAAGGCTTAAGTCCCCAAAAAGCATTAGGGAGATTTCTCACGGAAGTGGATGGGCATAGCGGAACTCGCTCAGTGAAAATTTACCTTCATGTGCTTGAGTCCAATTGAGCTTAACAGCTAAGTAGGGTCTAGGGCGTATACTTGTATATATAGGTGTGTGGGTACACAATTATTCTATAGGAAACATTCGGTGTTCGTAAAAATAAAATAGTTAAGAAGGATAACTTCTATAAATCCATTTATATAAATGTATTACAATAAAAGAACTAACCTTCTTTTTTTGATGTATTGATGAGAGTTCGGTTTACTTCTAAGAGGTTTTAAATCGTCATTTTTGTTTTATTTCAAATACCTGGCTTCTTTTTATCATTTTCTATCTCTTTCAGCATGTTTTCTGCGTCTCTAATTGCCTTCTCGGCAACATCCTTGTCAGATGATGACATATTTTTAATGATATCCTGAATTTGGTTAGCCTTTTTAAGGCCGTCTAGTTCCTCTTTAGTTAGTTTCACAGAGGCTGATGACTTCGACTTCTTATCCATTTTCGAGGCAAGAAAAATATGACACACAGTGGCTTGCCAGCACACCTGGTTTCTATTAGTAACTCGGTTGTTTTAAAAGGCTCGCACAACACTATGGAACTTGTTCGGTAGTGTGATACCCGAGACAGAGGGGGTGTCCGGTTTCTTGTCTATCTTCTCAG